CCACAGTCGACCGCTTCGGCTCCTTCCGGTCGTGCGTATGTGGGGTAAAGCAGCGGAGCTATTATTATGCCACAGTCGACCGCTTCCGCTCCTTCCGGTCGTGCGTTTAATGCCTTAAGAATACCCTTAAAATGTATTATAAACACAGGCTTCATAGAAAGTGTTACCGACATTTGAATGAAATGTTTAGTCAATATTAAACATAAGATCGCGCAGTGAAGTGTATACAGGTGCATCTCAATAAATTAGAATGTTGTGGAAAAGTTCATTTATTTCAGTAATTCAACTCAAATTGTGAAACTCGTGTATTAAATAAATTCAATGCACACAGACTGAAGTAGTTTAAGTCTTTGGTTCTTTTAATTGTGATGATTTTGGCTCACATTTAACAAAAACCCACCAATTCACTATCTCAACAAATTAGAATACTTCATAAGACCAATAAAATTTTTTTTTAGTGAATTGTTGGCCTTCTGGAAAGTATGTTCATTTACTGTACATGTACTCAATACTTGGTAGGGGCTCCTTTTGCTTTAATTACTGCCTCAATTTGGCGTGGCATGGAGGTGATCAGTTTGTGGCACTGCTGAGGTGGTATGGAAGCCCAGGTTTCTTTGACAGTGGCCTTCAGCTCATCTGCATTTTTTGGTCTCTTGTTTCTCATTTTCCTCTTGACAATACTCCATAGATTCTCTATGGGGTTCAGGTCTGGTGAGTTTGCTGGCCAGTCAAGCACACCAACACCATGGTCATTTAACCAACTTTTGGTGCTTTTGGCAGTGTGGGCAGGTGCCAAATCCTGCTGGAAAATGAAATCAGCATCTTCAAAAAGCTGGTCAGCAGAAGGAAGCATGAAGTGCTCCAAAATTTCAGTGACTTTGGTTTTCAAAAAACACAATGGACCAACACCAGCAGATGACATTGCACCCCAAATCATCACAGACTGTGGAAACTTAACTCTGGACTTCAAGCAACTTGGGCTATGAGCTTCTCCACCCTTCCTCTAGACTCTAGGACCTTGGTTTCCAAATTAAATACAAAACTTGCTCTCATCTGAAAGGAGGACTTTGGACCACTGGGCAACAGTCCAGTTCTTCTTCTCCTTAGCCCAGGTAAGACGCCTCTGACGTTGTTTGTGGTTCAGGAGTGGCTTAACAAGAGGAATATGACAACTGTAGCCAAATTCCTTGACACGTCTGTGTGTGGTGGGGCTCTTGATGCCTTGACTCCAGCCTCAGTCCATTCCTTGTGAAGTTCACTCAAATTCTTGAATCGATTTTGCTTGACAATCCTCATAAGGCTGCGGTTCTCTCGGTTGGTTGTGCATCTTTTTCTTCCACACTTTTTCCTTCCACTCGACTTTCTGTTAACATGCTTAGATACAGCATTCTGTGAACAGTCAGCTTCTTTGGCAATGGACGTTTGTGACTTACCCTCCTTGTGAAGGGTGTCAATGATCGTCTTCTGGACAACTGTCAGATCAGCAGTCTTCCCCATGATTGTGTAGCCTAGTGAACCAAACTGAGAGATCATTTTGAAGGCTCAGGAAACCTTTGCAGGTGTTTTGAGTTGATTAGCTGATTGGCATGTCACCATATTCTAATTTGTTGAGATAGTGAATTGGTGGGTTTTTGTTAAATGCGAGAACCAAAGACTTAAACTACTTCAGTCTGTGTGCATTGAATTTATTTAATACAGTTTCACAATTTGAGTTGAATTACTGAAATAAATGAACTTTTCCACGACATTCTAATTTATTGAGATGCACCTGTAAACAATCGTCAGGCCGTTGGCGCCCTCTGCAGTAATTTGTTATAATGCATAATTATAATGTGTAATGTTCTACTGTTTATAATACATTATGTATTTTAACAGTTTTGTTCAATAAAACCATAAGATTACTTGCTTTTGATATTTTATTTAAACTAATTGCCTCATTGCTATTATCTATATGTACTTTAAGTCATTTTAAAGGCTATTGCTCACTTAGGTCTATTTTTATTATCACAAAAAAATTAATTATCCGATTTCTTGAATAATCGACCGATTAATAGTTAGTGACAGTTGTAATATAAACAAAACAAAACTACAAAAGAGAAAAAAATACAAAGATAAAACCGGATTCAAAATATTCATAAAAACTATAAAAGTATCTCAATGATACTAAAATATCACTGATAAGGTGGCATCTGCACATATAATCACAATCCTCATAGAGATAACATTCTGTAAACAATCCCACAATCTTCCTGACGGGGATCTGGTGTTTATCAACCCTCTGTGGGACAAAATAAACAAGATTTATCTGCTGACAGTGTAAAGACTCCCGCTCAAGGGCCTGGAAGTGGAATAAATGTCTTCTTTTTAATTACAGAACATTAACAAATACTGACGTGTCAACAGCATGTTAATCAGAATGAATGCCCAAGTAAACATTTATAAAGCTCTGAATTTGGCTGTCTGGGAGATCGCGGTTACCTGGCAGCACCAAGACAGCGGTGGGCCAGCCACTGGAGCCAGAGAACTTCTTGAGCTCGGTCCAGCTGTTGATGGTCTCGTGAACCAGAGCTTTGGAGCCAAGTCCAGAGAAGTGCATCGAACGGCTGGGGATCAGCAGACGGAGGACATCTTCCGGCTGTGCTGTGCCACACTGAGGATCAAACTCAACAGTCATCCAGCGAACGCAGTCTGGAAAGGAAACCTGGAAACCAGAAAAGGGGAATGTGATTAAACCACTCCATGGCAACTCCATTAGTTGTTGCTGGGTTGCTGTTTAGGGTTATGCTGAGGAGTTGATAGGGTGTTCTGGGTGGTTGATTAGGGTGTTGCTGGGGATTTTATTGGGTGTTGCTGGGTGGTTGTTTAAGGTGTTGCTAAGGAGTTGATTGGGTGTTCTGGGTGGTTGATTAGGGTGTTGCTGAGGAGTTGATTGGATGTTCTGGACGGTTGATTAGGGTGTTGCAGGGGATTTTTTTGGGTGTTGCTGAGGAGTTGATTGGTTATTCTGGGTGGTGGATTAAGGTGATTATTTTGATTTCTTTTTTAAAAATCAAAACAGTGGTAAAAAACACAATTTCAAAATTCACTGCAATTAAAATTATTAGCAAAATGTGCACAAGAACCATCAATCAGTATTTGAAAGGTTCCCTACTATTTGAATTGCAGTTTACGCCACCTTTGTGTCTTATGTAAAAGGTATTTTCTGTTGCCGCATTAACATGTAATGACTGATCGGTTAGCTTATGTGGTTTTAAATGTCTAACTACTTTTTTATGGTTGTCAAAAACAATTGGACAATGTTAATATCGAGTCCTGTAATCAGTTTCTAAAGTGTTATGGGTGGTTGCTAGAGCATTGCCAAGTTATTCTTGTTAGTTGGCAGGGTGATGTAAACAGGTTGCTAGATAATAAATAGCTAGATTTGACCTTATTCTGTTGAATATTAGGAAATGAGAACTAATGTACCTTGTACTGGGTGACTGCAGCCTGCTTGTAAGGGTGATCACTCTCTATGACAGCATAATGATTAGAGGTGGTGCAAGCTGACAGGCCCTGCTCCGGCTGGTTCCCAGTGGTGCTGTCTGTGGACTGGTTAGGATTGAAAGCAGGAGGGGCATATTTCTGGTTCAGGGCAGAAACAGCTGGAAGAAGTTCCTGCACCAAACCAAACACCTCCACCGCAGCCTAATAGAAGACAACAATTAGAAATTTAAAACAGTTAGACATCAAAAAAGATATTGAAAGATATTGAAAAAAAAAGGGAACTAACAACACTTGACTTGGCAGAGGAGACATCATCACATCAAGAGCCAAGGTTGCCAATTACACAAAGAAAAACTCCCTTACCTTAGGGACAGAGGCAGCCACAGGACCAATGTATGCCAAAATAAGTGGAAGCAGCATTGAGAAGAGACTGGAGGAACTCAGGAGTTCTGGAATGTCTTCAACTGTGGAGATATCAGTAACGTCATTATATATTTGTATAAACGACTATATATTTATTAAAAAAATTATAATAATAAAAAAATGTATTATTATTCTTGTCGTGATGACTCATCAGACTCTCATGCTGTAGTGAACATTATATTTTATTTACATTCTGGTAATAAGAATGAGATCATTTACATTAGTTTAATTTAATGATTAATTATCACAAAATAATGTTACAATGTTCATGTTTTAAACAAAATGTAATTTCTTATTTCTATCATATTAACATTAGCTCAACAAATGGTGTGATTGTGGTGTAGGACTCTGCTTTTTTCAACCAATAGCAAATGGGTATGTTTTTTGGAAGCCTAAAGAAGGGATCCTCACCATCCACAGCAAAGGCCCTGTGGAGGAGGTCTTTGGCCGCCCGTACCACCACACTGACTACAGAAAGAGCACGACTGCAGTTCTTGTCCTCTTCATTGGCTTTGCTTAACAGCTGTGACTGCAGGTCACCATCATATTCACTCCTGTAGCAAACAATTGGAGTCAATAAGATGTACATCCTTCATAAATAAGTTTTTTTTAAGGCAGAGGAAGGAATACGGTACAGACCTGTAATAGAGAACCTGAGGAATCTGGCCTCTGGTCTGGTTGGTGCCATTGCTGCTCAGGCTGCAGGTGCTGAAGGTGAAGGCAACTCCATCAGAGCACTGCACGGTGGTCATGCCTCCATCCCCATTGGCTGTGCGGCTGCCATAGTTCCGCAGGCGGACAGCATATTTCACATTCTCCTGCAACATCAACAGGGTGAAAGTGAGTTTGCGCTGAAGTGAAGTTTATGCTTCGCGTGATTCATGTGTAAAATTCGCAGCACCTTCAGAGGAACAGCTTTGTCCAGACGGATCTCAGCGATGTCACTTGGGGAGTCGTCAGTGCTGTAAGTCCCTTTGACCAGTTCTAGAGACGTCCATCTGTGGGTGTGGGCGGAATCTCCAGGGTGCTCCGTCTGAGCCTGATAAAATGGGACAGATGGACAGAACAGGAACACAGAGAAAAACAACAGGGTAAGACATCAGGACAACTCATTCACACGCTCAAACTTGAAGGAACGGTTCACCCAAAAATTAGTTTGTCTCAAACAGACTTGGCACCAAGTACCATATTTTTCAGAATATAAGTCACTTTTTTTATTGTTTGGAACAAATATGCACACACAGACATCATATCAGTTCTAGCACTGCTAACTTGACATCGCAGCCTATTCATCAACAAACAAAAATGCAGTCAACCAAACAAAGTCAGACAACTCAATTTAAATTATTTGTTGTACAGTAGGGCTGTGCTGGACATTGTGACACAGTGCCCCATCGTGGTGGTACACCAAACACATTTTGCCCATGTGAAGGTTGCTGTTTTTTGGGACAGAAGTGAAGAACAAAGTCATGTTTACAATAGTTTAGCAACCGAACAGTCCTTAATATGGAAACAGTTGGATATGTGCCAAACTGAGAAGTACGTGGGCCCACAAATTTGGATTAAGTTCAGTTTTGTATTCTGTTTGGCGAGCCACACACCTTTTTCTCCACGATTTTAACAATATTCCATGAGTTATTGTACTGGACTAAACATCTTCTCTTCTCAAATTCTCACCCTCTGTCTTTATTGCAGGGGATTTCTGTTTATAGTATGGGATTTCAACATTTATTAAAGTTTATTTTCCTCTTTTCATTCACTTTTAATCCCTGTATTTTCATTCTTTAATGTGGTAAAGAAGAAAAACGCTGTTGATCAACTATATTTTTATTTTTTCAAAATCATTAATTTTTGGAAGATATTGGTCAGTGCAAGAAGTCAATTGATGGTGAATTAGAAATGACTGGTGACTGTGTCCGTACAGAAATGTTGTATCTTTTGGTTTCAGTTTTTATTTCTCTCTGTACAGCACATTTCCCACACGCCATATTTCAGTTTGTTTAGGCTTGGTGTTTATAACAAATGCCACTATAATTTGTTTATTTCATAACTATATTTTTTTATTCATGTTCTGATTACCATTAAATTAACGGGACGTTTTTAAGAGCAGCTAAATTTAAATTCATGCTTACAGTGCTTGTAAATGTTTTATTTACTAGTATTTCACATCTCTGAATGTTGTATTAATAAAATGCGACTGATACACAGATGTAACTTAGCTGTGCTTTTTTTCTGTCAACAATGCAATTTAGACCCAGTGTAGCTCATGCAACTGATTAACCTCAGATGCAATGTTTTTTCCAGAAAATACAGTAATTTAGTCACATGGACTACTTTTATGATGCTTTTCTGGTGCTTTTTTGGATCTAGACAGACATGGGCACATTACACTCTTGTTGTACATAAAGGATCTGTGTGAAGAAAAATCCTCCTTTTATGTGGATATGGGTATGAAACAACACGAGGTTGAGTATTGTTGTTTATTCCTTTAACAGTCAGAAGTCTAGCTTCCATGTGGCATCAGGTGATGAATACAGCAAAAGGCTTACATCATCAGCGAGCACCTCCAGCTCATGCTCATGGATGCCTCCTCCTCCGTACACACAGAAACCCACCAGCACCACCCCTGGCTTGTCCACCATGAAGCAGATGGCATCGGGGGAGCCGTTGCCTGTGTTCCAGCTGCGTCCTTGGCTGGTCTTGGTGAAGCGGTTGGGGGTGGCCTTCACAGAGTGCAGGGAGTTCAGCCCATCCAGCTGCACAACAACAGTAAAAAAGTTTTCAAAAGTGTAGGCAAAAAATTTATATTTAGTGTAGATGCAATTTTACATTTTAAATTTGTTTTGGAATTGCAGAACATTAAAGGGATAGTAGTGTCATTTTAGGGTGAACTGTCCCTTTAAGATGAAGTGTCACTTATTTTCCCAGCAGGTGGCAGCAGGCCAGATAACCGAGGGAGGATGTTTTTGTTAATTGAACAGGAGCCTCCATGAGAACCACCTAAAACCATGCTTTTCCTGTGATACTGCAAACGGCCAAAACTCGGCTAGCCCTCATATGCTTTATATTCCACCTTTAGAAATGGACATTGTTACAGAGAAGTAAAGCAGCTGTAACACTCTCCATAACATACTCTATTAGAGCATGACAGGCCAGTTGCTATGGCAATGAGCCAATGGCCTTTTCCCAAGCGGCCGGAGAGAGACGGACTGCAGAAGACTGTTGTGGTCCTGTGGAGGACACACCTGTGCTCATGACTCAGCTTCCCACTACAACAATCCTGCATGAGACGGCCGACATGGAGCCTTCTCACTTTCCATTTTTACGCTGATTTTGAGAAAAAACTCAAAGGATTAAAACGGTAAAATGTTTAATGCAGTTGGAGTAGTACAGTCTTATTGATCAGATTGCAAAATATGTAATCAAGTCCAGGTACTAAAAATAAAATAATAAAATAAAATAATAAAACTATTTAATTAAATAATATTAAATTAAATTAATGGTTAAATTAAAGATCAGTCTTTCTACAAAATAGTAATATCATATCAAACTGACAGCAACATTAAATTGTGTTAATTAAAAATGATTATATATTAATTTATTAACTTTTTTTTAAATATTATAATGATTTTATATTTTGAATATATCTTTAAATACTTTAAAATATATTACATACTAAATACTTTTTTTTTGTCTAACACACACACACAACCACCTGCTATGACATGCAGGTTTTTAGACTCTGCAGATACAATAAAAATGACCATAAGAATAACATAGAAATAATGTATAAAATTGTCAGAATTGAAATTATATAAATTGACAAATCAGAAATGTCCTGGTTCAGGGCTAAATAGTCTGAGGGGAGAAGCTTAAATATACAAATATATCAATAAATATTAATACATACAAATATATTATAAATATATTACAAATAAGTATATTAAACAGAAATATTATTAATATTTAATTTATTTAAAACTATATTTAATTTAAATAAAATAATATATTTATATTAAATATAACAATAATGTATTTAAAATATTATTCATATATTAATATTTTAACATTGTAAATATATTATAAATATTTAAATATATTTCTTTATATATGTTTATATCATATATACTTTAAACTTTATTTTACTATAAACCTTTTAAATAAAGGACATGGGACAGGGATGTTTAGAACTTTCTGGATGTGCAGATCTTTCAGTGGAGCTCTATGGATACAGATTCTGCGTAGGATCCTGTGCATGAGAATCTGATGAAACGGAGTGATATAATTTCTCCTCCATCATCTAAAAGCTATTTATGGCCAGCCAGTGGCTGTAATGCAATTAGAGTAGCAGGCGAATGCTCTGCGGACAAAGAGACGAGGAAGAGTGAGTGAGTGAGTGAGTGAGTGTGTGTGTGTGTGTGTGTGTGTGTGTGTGTGTGTGTGTGTGTGGATGAGAGGAATGAGAGGGAAGAGGGAGATTTGTCCTTCTAACCTCAGAGCCGAGAGCAGAGGCAGTAAGCTCACTGACGATACTGGCCAGCAGGCCACAGGTGTTGGACACCAGATGAGGAGAAAAGAGCTCAACCTCCTTCCTCAGACTCTTCCTCACAGGAAGCACCACAATGACAAGCATCTTCTCCAGAACCTCCCGGAAAGTCGTCATGCCCATGAGATTCTCTTCCGTCTGATCAAAATACGATAAAGAGAATTTTGTAACTGCTGAGGCAGATGAACGTCTTTTAATTTGAAAAATGAGGGCTGTTAGTACTCACGTGGCTGAGCTTCTCCATGTGTGCCACCAGCAGGGGGAAGCGGTGAGCGAGGGCAGAGTCGTTCTCAGTGCTGACCTGCTTGACGAGGGAGCGCAGCAACACCTCCCCGTCGTACGCGATGGGCAAGACGGAGGTCAGCTTGACCGACGTGTTACACAGTGCTGACATCACCGCGGCCAGCAGACGGCTGCTCGACGTGCGGAAGTTAGCCTCTTGAATGTCCTGGAGGTCAACATGAAGGTCAATGTTATGATCAGTAGAGCCTTTGCTGCAACTAACCGGACTGTGTGTCTGATAACAGTAGAGTGATAAATGCATCGCTCAGAAATTTCAAAAAGAAAATATATGGAGGCTGTGCCTCTTTTTCTGAGAGAATCTCTTTGATTTAGTGTGCCATTGGAGATCGGATTTTAGAGCTCCGATTCATCAGCTCTAAATCTGTCTGGAGGCTCATTTGCAGTGTGAGCTGGGAACTGAAAGTGGTTCAGCTGAAAAAGCATCTCTGTTAAAGAGGCTCTTTAGGTTAATGTAAAAAAAAACAAGTCACATTTCACCCCCAAAAAATTTAAGAAAAAAATATTTAATGTAATTTGATTTAATTTTTTAACACTTTTTCCAAAGTATTAACAAAAAGCAAAGTTGTACATTTTCCCCCTTATATTAACACTTTCAATCAAAATTAAATATTCATAAAAATATGAATCATTATTACAACACAAAAGAATTACAATATAATAATGACATTTATAAATAAGTAAAATTTTACAAATACACATTTACAAATTAGCATAATATCCATATAAAGAACAATTACAAGCATATGTTATGCTACATGTATCCAAAATATTTAAAAAGAATAATAATACATTACATTTTGCATTATATAAAAGTTCTTCGATTTTTTTTTCCTTCATATTTTTATTACAAGTAGGCGCATTTCCCCCCCAAATAGTTATTCTGTATTTCACATTATTCTCAATAGTTTTCCAATAGTGTAATAAAATTACTATAATGCTTCATATAATCAAAAGCAGTACATTAACAAACAACTATTTTTTTATGTTTTAAAATAATAAATCATTATTTGGTTTTGCATTAGAATAAAGGGAATTTTGGGGGATTTTTTTTTTTTTTTACTTAACAGTCAAGAAAATAATTTCAGTGCAAAACAATAATGGCCATAAAATAGGCCTTAATTTGATTTATCCAAAATATAATTGATTTTATTTATTTATTTTTGTGAAATTAAGACACTCTTGACAGGTTTATTGAGATTCATCCAAAAATGAGGCCACATCAGTCGTTTGCTGATTTAAGAACAGCTTTAAACTGTCACTCTAGAACAGGGATCCTCAAATCTGGCCCACGAGATCCACTTTCCTGCAGAGTTTAGCTCTAACCCTAATCAAACACACCTGAGCATGCTAATCAGTGTCTTCAGGATCATTAGAAAATCACAGGTAGCTGAGTTTGATCAGGGTTGGAGCTAAACTCTGCAGTGCATTGGACCTCCAGGGTAAGATTTGAGGAACCCTGCTCTAGAATCTCTGCTGATGGTGATTACCTGGTCCAGGCAGTTGAGCAGGTCGCAGAGGCAGGCCCACTGCAGGGCCGGCGTGGGGTAGAACGAGTGGAAGCAGGCGGTGAAGGTGTTGTGGCACTCTTGCAGCACGGCCTCCAGCAGCGTGAGGGGTTGACTCAGATATCCCTGCGGGTCGTTGTCCAGCTTGGTCAGGCAGTTGTCCATCCCCTCTGACAGGATCTTCTTCAGGAGGCTGCGTGTCTTTCCTACACACTCCGCCAGCTTGCTGGACTCCTCCACAACCGCTTTGGTACTGGCTAGATAGGAGACACAAACAGGCAGTATAAGACACAATGCAGATGCAACGTGGACCAGACAGTATGATGACAGTGGGTCCTAGTGACCAGTTTTAGTATCACTGATATACTATTACAGTGCTTCTGCAGGTTTTATAAAGATTATTTACTTGACAAGAAAAATTACATAAGAAGTCTTGTTTTCTGTATAATTCTTCAAAATTATGTGAGTTTATGCTTAAAACAAGAACAAATGGGTGCCAATTGGCTAAGAAAAATCAACTTAATTCAAAGGGAAAACAAGTGCTCACCTTCTTTTTAGGATATCTGTTCTTGTTTTAAGCATAAACTCACTTTAGTTTGACTTCATTTTACATTTGCATCTCAAGTAAAGGAGTAAATGTCTGTATTTAAGAATGTTTAGATATTTGCACTGGAAAACAAAAATGCTCAGGAAGTTATTTTTTGGCAATGCATCCAGCATTCAATGCCATAACTTTCTGCTCTGATTTAAGACCGATTTAAGACCCACAGAAAACCCATTATTGTTTTAGTTAATATTTTGAATTAGATTTTATTGTAATATTTTCTGCTTTCACTTTATTTTTTGTCATTTGTATTATTTTTTGTTATTTTCTGAAATATATAGTTTTTATTAACTTAAACTACACACAAATGGGAAATGTGTATATATGCATACATACATACACACACACACACGTAGTGAAAATGTTTTTAATGATTTTAGTTAACAATAATTTTTTTAACTATTCCTTAAAAACTAGCATCTTTAACACTGGTCCAAAGCTGTCTTCCTCTTCATTACATGTGCTTAAAGGCCTTGTGTGACATGAGACCCTGACAATCAATATAGACTACATCTGTAACTCAAGGGAACTCCACTTATGACACTGACAGTCCGACTCAGCAAGAAGTGACAGCACAGATTCAGTGTATAACAATAAATCCTGGTGACAAGGTCTAGTAGTACAGTGTCAAGAGAGTGACAGCAGTGCTCAAAATCAATGTGACTTAGGTCGGCATCCCTCTAGCTGGTTTTTCAGTCAATTTTCAGTTGTTAGCTTTACTTACACAGCTGCTGGAGTAACAGAATGAGAGAAAGTGGCCTGTCTTGAGTGCAAGATTTCAGGAAAAATAATATGCATATGAGACATACCCTTCAAAAACCGTCCTATTTCCAAACAGCTAATGGGACGCCATTTCCAAAAATGAAAATTAGCCCACAAATTACTCACCCTCAAGTCATCCTAGGTGTATATGACTTTCTTCTTTCAGACGAATATGAGCAGAAATGGCATATAATACCAGAAATGGGGAAGATTTCGCAGATGTAGACGCGTAACAGTCGCAGGCAGCAGGTCCCCACAAACCGCAGGCGCTCCAGGTCCAGAAGAGTGGCTGTGAACTGGAAACCTTTCAGGCCCCTCAGTTCCTCCACCCCCAAAACCAGCGTGGTCCAGCTCCAGTGCAGGATACTCAGCAGAGACTCAAAACAGTCCTGAGTCAAGAACAAACACACACCACTGGGAAATTAACCAAGGAGCTGACCTATTATTAACTTGGTTTGTTCGTTTGACTGCACAAAGCGGATAGGCCACAGAGAAAAAAAGCGCCAACAGTCAATGGATTTCCTTAAAGAATAACAAGCAATAAAATACACTGAAGTATAAACCCTTCAGAATTGGCTGCTGTACATCTGTTGCTTGCCAATTTTTCTTTCTTTCTATTTTTTACAGGGCATAAGGAAATTATATGGAAATTCTAACTAGTGTTGCTAACATATCCTTTTCAGGAAATACCAGGTGAAAATATCAGCACGAGCACATTTATGGGTCAATGACAAACAAGGTTACTAGAGGAGATATCTAAATATCTAATATCTAACGTGTGACAAGTAATTGTATATTCATATCAGTTTCATACATTAAAAAATAAATAAAAAATACATCCAAAAAAATTTGGATTATATCACTTCAAATGGTGTAACCGTCACATAAAACGTAACATCACATAAACATTTTCTGCACACACTGAATACATTTACAAATTTGATTCATTTTCAAAATTATTTTAAAATATATTTTCTAAGCCCAAAAATAATTTTCACAAATATTATGAATTTTTGAATTGCGTATATTTTGATGTTTTCTTGTTTTCTTTAATAACCCAACCATGCCAAAATGTAAGCATTAAGTTGGTTGATACATTATGTAGATAATGTCAATATATTATGTAAGTTGATTTGGAAAAATCTTTTATATATATAAAAGATTGCATTTTCATAGAAATGGCATTGTATATGAGGAAATTATTAGATCTGAAAATAAAATGTAAAAAACAAAATTAAGCTTCACATTATTGGCCCATGAGCAGTCAGTATGTTTTCACGCACATACCACAGACACGGTCCTGGCGAAAGAACGCTTTAAGATGTGCACAGGCTCACTGGTCTGCTGCTTTCCTTTGGATGCGTTACCATCATTAGAGGGCAACCTGGCAAATCAGAACGAAACGGGCATGTGAGAGAAAGAATACACCTGATACACCAAAGGAGCCAGTACAGAACTAAAATTCCTTGTGTACCTGTACAGCAGCTGAGGTATTTGTCCAGCATTCACATCAGTACCATTGTTTGATTTCTTTGAGCTCTTGAACTGAAAGACCACTCTGCAGGAGAGAGTTCACTATGATTATTATCGTCTTTACAGAATTACCATGCTATAATGATCACACAATCACAGCAATACGTGTGTTTGTACCCATCATCAGTAGTGATGGTGGCCTGGCCGTGGGAGCCGCAGTCACTGCTGGGTCCAGACACACGAGCCCACGCCACATACCACCAGCCCAACTGCAGCAGCACAGGCTCGTCGAACATCATGGCGTACTTCTCCCTGCACACACAAAACAAACGTTCACAAATAACCACAGCAGTCTTTATGAGCCATGTGTGCTCTATGTCTTTTAATCAGTTGGTGTTTTGGTGATTTTTAACTGATGTACAAAGTCAGTTCTCCTCAAGTTCAGACAATCATCATATCAGAGTAACAACAGATGTAGCTCAACATGATCAAATGTTTCACGAATACACGCACAAAAAAAAAGTGTCAGCATTCCATTTGTCTTCATTTTGGACAGAATATTTAGAATCTAAAACTTAGTGCAATGTTTTACTTAATCTAAATATAATACAAAAAAAGAAATCAATCAATTTAAAAAGAGACATTATGCCTTGGAAACTAACTGAAAAAAGCCGAAGTACTAAAATTACTGATTTTTTTTTTATACATTTAAACTAAATTGAAATGTAATCAAAAACTAATAAAAACTTTCCAAAATTACTAAAACTTAAAAAAATAAAAGTATGATTTAAAATATTAATAAATACTGATGTTTCCATGTATTATAGGAACAACAGTATTTATTACACTTGTCTATTAACAGTAGGGTTGTGACGGTGATGAAATTTTCCCACCGGTTAATCGACGTGTGACAACACCGGTAATACCGGTATCACCGGGGGGTGGGGTTCGTTGGGATTTTCCCTCTTTTCCTCACTTTCTTTCACTTTAAATAGCTTCTAAATGCCCGTACGCATTTTAAACTTATTTGGTTCAGATGGTGTCAAGCGTGTGTGGTGGCAACCAGGTGAGGAGTACAAAGACAAGTGTGTCTTGCCTACAGTTAAGTATGGTGGTGGGAGTGTCATGGTCTGGGGCTGCATGAGTGCTGCCGGCACTGGGGAGCTACAGTTCATTGAGGGAACCATGAATGGCAACATGTACTGTGACATACTGAAGCAGAGCATGATCCCCTCCCTTCGGAGACTGGGCCGCAGGGCAGTATTCTAACTTTCCAAAATTACTAAAACTTAAAAAAATAAAAGTATGATTTAAAATATTAATAAATACTGATGTTTCCATGTATTATAGGAACAACAGTATTTATTACACTTGTCTATTAACAGTAGGGTTGTGACGGTGATGAAATTTTCCCACCGGTTAATCGACGTGTGACAACACCGGTAATACCGGTATCACCGGGGGGTGGGGTTCGTTGGGATTTTCCCTCTTTTCCTCACTTTCTTTCACTTTAAATAGCTTCTAAATGCCCGTACGCATTTTAAACTTATTTGGTTCAGATGGTGTCAAGCGTGTGTGGTGGCAACCAGGTGAGGAGTACAAAGACAAGTGTGTCTTGCCTACAGTTAAGTATGGTGGTGGGAGTGTCATGGTCTGGGGCTGCATGAGTGCTGCCGGCACTGGGGAGCTACAGTTCATTGAGGGAACCATGAATGGCAACATGTACTGTGACATACTGAAGCAGAGCATGATCCCCTCCCTTCGGAGACTGGGCCGCAGGGCAGTATTCTAACATGATAACGACCCCAAACACACCTCCAAGACGACCATGCCTTGCTAAAGAAGCTGAGGGTAAAGGTGATGGACTGGCCAAGCATGTCTCCAGACCTAAACCCTATTGAGCACCTGTGGGGCATTCTCAAACGGAAGGTGGAGGAGCGCAAGGTTTCACTTAGGGGTGTACTCACTTTTGTGGCCAGCGGTTTAGACATTAATGGCTGTGTTGAGTTATTTTGAGGGGACGGCAAATTTACACTGTTATACAAGCTGTACACTCACTACTTTACATTGTAGCAAAGTGTCATTTCTTCAGTGTTGTCACATGAAAA